ACATCTCTGAATAAACGTTTATGACAACCTGCTGCTGTTGTCTGATGAAGCTTCTTACTCAGTGTTTTGTATGCTGCTGGTGTTAAACTTGTTCCAGGTATTAGACACCAGAGCATGTCACCAAACCAGCTGCTGACACCTGCACCTTCAAGTCTTACGTTAACCTCTTTAATGAAGCATAGTAGTCTCAGAAATAGTCACCAGTCTTGCTCTGCATCATAATTTATCACAAGTCTAGCTTGTATTTATGAGTCCGTTCATGAACTTTTGTACATCTGAAATACTCCAGTTATTAGTCGGTGCCATCACACTTGTTGCATCACGCTGTACCTCATGTGTTCTGGTTTGTGTGACTTTTTTTTTTTCAGTGCTGCAGTTCGACAAAATATATATATTCATTAAAAACAAATATTTTCTGATTTGACCCTTTTTCCTCATATTACACACACACTCTAGTATCAGTGATCCATAAAGATTAATGCAGTTAAAAACAAACTGTGTGTACACTTTAATTCTTTATTGCAAACATCAGGAATTTCAACATAAAAACAAACGCCAATTGTAAATACGTAAAACTAGCAAATAACAGAAAATGTCGGGTTAATTTAGTACAAACAGAACAGCAAAGTGAACAGTGGCTCCTCTTCTATTTGGTCCAGCTGACTTTGGGAATATCGTAATGCTCGGTCAGGGTGTCCAGGTGGCGATTAAAGTCCTGGAAACACACAACAGACAGGAGACGTGTTCAGTGATGTATAAAATCCTGTAAATATTCTCTTCAGAAATTGCAAAAGCTTCCGGTTTAGAATAACATTTGGATATATGTTGAAATCTAGAGATAAGTTGTGGGGATGAGAATGCTGGTTTATGAGTGTTTGGACTGAACAGAGGACTGCATCCCTTTGGTCACCATGGTAACTGATGCTGCACTGCTAACCTGATCTGGACACGGTTCTGTTTGGCATTTAGATCGGCCAGAAGAAGCGCCTCCTTGTCACCTATTCTTTTCCTGAGTGATAAAGATTGTCAGCTGGGTGTTTATCTGCAAAGTTCCTGAGCTGTACGTCACTAATTCCCCTGAATGAAGCTGTGATTTCTACATTTTATGAACTTTATTATCGAACAGCGTCAGACCTAAATGCACTTCAGATGATCGTGTCCAAATGTATGAAGTTTAGGATAATGTGCTGCTGCCGTGTTTAAACAAGGATTAAGAGTCACTGAGTAGGAAAATAAGTAGATTAATTTCATGATTCTTGTCGTCTGTCTCGCTTTATTTTCAGTCACGGTGCTTTCTACCATAAGAACTTTGAACAAATTTGGTTTGTTTTGTGCAGAAGAAGAGTCACATGACACCTCCTTCATGGGAGCGCGTAAAGAGTTCGATGAAGAAAATCTGATTAACTAAAACAGCTGATGACCAACAGCATGACACACATTATCTCTGACCACGGTCTTAGGTTTTGTAACACCAGTAAGGTCTGATTATGTCAAATTTGCTTCGTGGTGGAACCCTCAGAGCGACGCCACATCTGACTGACTCACCTCGACTCTGTGTTTGTGAGTCTTTGATGCTTTGTTCAAAATCCGCTCCATTTGCTGAAAGAGAGAAAAGACAGAAATGAGACATCATTACCTTCTTAGCTACACAGTAAACACGTCCAACACCCGTCACTCCCAGAATACTAAACTAAAACTATGTACAAACAACTGCCAACCGTCTGCTGTCACTAAAACTGAATGTACTGTCTCATGGTTCTGGACGGTGGAAACGTCGATCCGTTCAGCCAGACACTACAGAGAAAACACTGTGTTCCTGTTCTGGTGTTTCTCCGTGTGTCTGCTCCACAGGACGCTCTGTTGCAACAGCCACCGTTTCCAGTTATAACCTTTGTCCTTCTGATTTTAAAAACTCTGATTAACATAAAGAAGTTATCTGAAGACGAACTGAAGCTGTGAAACATCATCAACTACGATCCTGAGCTACGTATTTATATTTTAAAACCACATCAGGTTGGGACTACGCTGCTGTTTTAGGATCTCCAGCCGGCGCTCTCAGAGGTAATCAGTGCTTCAGTGGAAGAGGAAAGTTCAGAACAGCAGATGTTAATCATCTACAACCCACATCTGTTGTGTAATTGTTCTTTGGTTGTTTTTTTTCAACACAAGTAAATTTACTGCTACCTAATTCTGGTGTGATTTCCTTTAATTATGTGCTGTCTGTACAAAAGTAAACAATAAAATAAATAAAAAGGATAATTTACTGTTTAGAGCATTACTAGTAGCAAACTGTATGATCTTAATTTAACACATTTCAGTAACTTTTCAGACTCAAAAGACCTTTTATAATTATGTTTTGTGTTTCTGTATGAATAATATTTGAGACCAGTTCTTACAACAACTTCCTTGTTTGCTTCTGATCAGTGCTAACTCTCATTCTGACTGACTGACTGTGTTTCATGAACCCTCATAGCCTTCATGTTAACAAGGCTCTGTGGTTATTAGAGGTGCAGATTGATGTCAGTCGTGGTCACCGAGGCAGCAGCGGCCACAGCTTTTCAATCATGTATCTCTGTTAATTTGATTTAGTCTCAAATCCAATCACTGAACGCAGCACAACAACAACTTACTCTTTTTTCCTGCATCTTGTCAAAAGCCATCTGTGCCGGCGTCCTTTTGTCAACGTACGCCTTCTTGGTTTTCACCTCCTCGTCGTTCTGGCTGGTCGCGACCTGCTCCAAGCGATGTTTACTCTGTTTGTCCTTCTTCTTCTTCCTACAAATAAAAGCATGTAACAGTGAGATGACCAGCGGTTTGTCGTATCAAACTAACATTACAAAGCAGAGAAAGAGAGACAGAGACGCAGCAGACAAGGCTGACTAGAAATTACACACCTGCATACTGTGGCTAAATTATGTGAAAAAATAATCATATTGACTGTTTTGACAAATACTGTGATATTAATGTTTTGGCATTCTTTACCTACTGAAACAAATAAAAAATGATGATGTGACTTTCACTGCAGTCTGTACCAAACATGCATGATCCATTATGTCTGGGGAATACGATTGGTAGGCCAACGCATCTTGGTAGCACCACAATACTGAATTTAAGTTGCTATGCTGTGACACATTTAACTTTAATAAAAAGAAAACACTGCAGCTCCTGCAGCCTGGATAGGGGTGCACAGGGCTCGTCTTAATGCGGGGTTAAATATAACGCTGACACTTGACATGCGTTCACGGGGTCGAACAGCTGTGCTCCTGGTCCGGTCACCATTAGAAAGCTTCCCACTAATTTTTCTAAGACATGTTTTTGCGGATATGTAGGTAAATATCTGTATTGTTAGTGGTTTCCAAGTTATTAGATGTGTGTGTGAGGATCTAAACCGACCCTATAGGATCTTAATAATCTTCTTGTTGCCAAAGACGTTGCACTATTTTAAAACATGTAGAACGTTTTCACTTAGCTTAAGAAAAGCTTGTTGTAACACAGGATCACAACTAAGCCACCAAAAATGTACAACAATATTAAAATAGATACATCAATAGATACATAATAAACATATATTTCTATCAATCTATGTATTAGATTTTCCATCCACAATGAATGGATTGTTCAGTTAAGGATGGATAGATGGAGACAGGTGTGGAAATTAATTAATCACAGATAGATTCAGAACCAGCATCCAGCTATGACACACAGGTAGATTTGTATTGAGTTAACTGGTTCACAGACTTTTCAGGCAAGTTTAACAACAAACCATCTGTCTGGTACAGCTAACGCTGCCCCTGGTGGAAGTTTAACATTTCACTTCTGGTTTTTACAAGAACAGCAAATCCTAGAAACAAACTTTGAGAGTTTGTGTGTAAAAGACATTTGCATGTTGTTTATATATGAACATGAATAATCTAACTCTAATATTCCTAATTATTTACCAAACCTCTAATGTGATCGATTGTACCCCACTCTCCCTTAATGCACTTGATAATACGTCGGTAATGTTTCGATTGATTGTCCAGCCCTTTTGCATTTATGTATCATCAGAAATATGTATTTAACAGATAGTCAGGATAGCCCCTAAAACTAGAAATCAGTAATCAACCTGCCTTATGTTTCTGTGGGGTCCAAAGCGTGGAGAAAGGCATTATCTGTACTATTGAACAGTTGCCTATATTAATATTTTGGCTATGTAATTTGAGTTATTACCAAACTGTAATTTTTGGTGGGTTTCTGTTTTAATTTGTTAATGAAAATGTGAGGAGAGAAAACACCACTTTGTTAACAGTTAGCTTGTGTACATGTTGTGATCTATCCACACTGTGTTATTTAGTGTGTATTTGACAACGCCTATAGAAGATGTAATGAAATGTTTTCGACATATTGTGATCGAATTAACCTCCAGTGTTCTCCGCAGGTTAGTTAGTTTTGTTTTAGCTAATGCTAGCTAGCTAACGTCGTCTAGCTCCATGTGTAACTCTATAATGACAACATCGAAGCTACGAAGGTCTCAAATACGAACAACGCTCTTCCTCAGTAAAATGTTATTTTCACGATTAAATAATATTCACACAATCTTTAGAAAAAATATAAAATCGATTAAATTATAACAATTTACGTCGTGTTTATCTTCTAGCAAACATGCTAACAGTTAGCAACTATGTTGATCTTACCAGCTGCGACGGGATGTATTTTATCGATTTAAAGGATTTAACGGATTAGTCTTTTACAACAACTTTCCCAAACAGTAGCGACAAAAAACTTACTTCTTCCCAGCAGAAATATCTCCTACACCCTTTAATTTCAGGGTACTTTTCTGGACTGTCGCGTACTCTGACATTTTCGAGAAGCTCTCTGTCGTCTTCTTCTGCTTTGTTATTAAAGTAACCGACAGACATGTGAGTGCTGCCACCTGTCGAATTGAACTAGAACTACATGAACCTGGCTGCAGCTCCTCCTCCTGGCCGCAGGGGGGCAGCAGAGGATTCTAACTGAGCCGGAAACAAAGCGGAAAGCTGAGGGAACTTATGAATGTCAAACTGTAGCATGGTGGGCTGTGTGTGTCGGTAACCTCTCGGTAAAAATGTTCGGCTACTGTTTGTCTCGGGCAGCGTCTTTAACGAAATGCATCACAAACGGCGGCGCGGCGTTGCTGTGCAGGACGAACGCGGTAAACCGGACGCAGACGTGTGGCTACGCCCGGAAAGGCGGTGGGTAAAGAGGACGTCTGTGTAGTGAACACACACTGTTTATGCTAGCTCTGGTGAATAAACGTGTGTGTGTCGAGCTAAACTGACGCGTTTAGTTTGTTTACTGCACCGGGTGTGATTTAAAGTACAAGTATTAAGAAATGTAGCATCTAGAAGTGGTAAAGGAGAAATGAAGTGTGTTCCACTGGGTGTACAGTCTGTTACAGTATGAAAAGTACCAACACACTAAATACACACTAAATATATGAATGTAGTAGCTGTAGATGTCAATATAAAGATAAATAAATAAATGTATGAGTAAAGGGTGAATGGTGGGATAAATAGTATGAGAAATAATAATAATCTTTATTTCTATAAACCAGTTACAAAGAGCTTTAAAGTGCAATATCATACAATATAAGGCAACGACCACATTCATAGAAAATGCAATTATATGATGTAGATATAAAATATAATACATGCAATATGCACATATGTAGTATAAAGAATGAATGAACAGTAAGTACCTTATAATAATAATAATAATTAAACCAATCTCTTTATGGAGTACGTTTCAGAATCCAAATAACGGGCTTTAAAAGGCAGCAAAATAAAACAGACAAGACAATAAATCATTAGAATTTAAAAGCCACATAAACACAACATGATGCATAAAAATGTACGCAGTGTTAGAAAAGGTAGAATTATTGTTGAAATTAGAATGATGTAAAAGAGATCAGCAGACCTGACATCCTCATTCAGACTGTTGCTCTGACTGCAAACACCCGGGGTCTCTGAAGCAGACACAAACAGAGAACCGCTGTCTGTTGATCTCAAACAGTGTGTCAGGGTCGAGCTCAGAGAGAGGCCATGAAGGGCTTTTAAAGTAATAAATACAATCATACATTTGAGGAAACTTAAGGGAACCAAAATGCATCTCATTGCTCACCTGCCACCGTCTCAATCCCCTGGTAGCTTCAAAAAGAGCAGAAGGATTGTTTGGTGGAACATGTTAGTCTAGACCGGCAGACATGCTGATCTTTAATCTGATGAAGGTTTGTTAGAATCTCTGAATCCCTGAAATATCCCAACTGTGCAGTCAATTAATAAATCCACATAGTTTCAAGGAATTTAGTTGCTAAAAAATTCCAAGGGTTCGTGTGGGTCATGTCAGTTAAAATAGCCTTGATTCAGTCCACTGAATGAAATTTAAAGGTGCAGTTACTCATTACTTTAATACACAGCTTATAAATTAACTGTGATAACGAGTGAAGGGCCACAAATCCTTATACCGATCCTTAAAGTGCAATCTCTGTCCCTGTCTTTCAGTGGTCAAAACCAAAGGTAAGGGCGCGGTGAAGGAGGAGCAGAAAGGTCCAGAGGTGTGCACAGACCCGGTCAGACTGACGTCTCACGCAGTCGGAGTGAACATCTTCAAACAGGGGGACGACCCCAAACTGAAGCCTCATGAGGAGTATCCTGAGTGGTGAGTTCTGCCCGTGTCATCGCTCATATCTACGTTCATATGAAACAGTGAGGACACGACTGGCTTTTTTACATAATTGGACAACATATTGAGAACTCTTTAGATCTTTGGAAGATGACACCAGAGAGACCAACACTTCAGATGTCAGAGGTTTGAAATGGCACGGTTCCCCTCGTCACTCCATAAACAGATTCTTATCACTGGCACTAATCTGGAACCCCTGATTCATATTTTATGGATTATTTGAATGTGTGCACTTTGTTTTTGGCTCATTTCTGATTCTGCCTTTCAATACAGTTGTCTGAAAAACATCATTTGGCTGATTAAAGAGCTGTGAATGTGGCCTTTTGTGGCAGAATATGGCTGTTAAATAATAGTATTTAATGGATAGTACAACTTGTTTTGCCGTCCCGTGGCTCGTCCTCTCTCTGTTGCTGTTGTTGCCTTCAGCTACACGCAGCGCACGAAGTCCAAACATGTTTCAGTCGGTAATAAGTCTTCCCGTAAGTCGGTCATGCAGAAAACCGAGTCAGAGGGAGGTTATGGAAATCAGGTGCAGTACAGTGGAGAAATATCCGAGTGCTTTTGGTTTTTATTTTAGTTGAGAGTGCGTCAGAGACATTTTCACTCCAATGTTGCGTAACAGGGAGACTGCAGGTTGAGACTTTGAAGTGCGTTTGATGCGTCTTTGCGGATCTCATTTCAGTCTACTTTGATCACTCAGGTTGTTCCAGTTGAACCTGGGAAATGCCCAAAAGCTGTCCGAGCTGGAATCGGACACCTGGCAGTACTGGAGACGCCTGAGGAAGGAGAACATTTGGCGTACCAACAAACTGCAGAAATGGAAGAAGATTTAGGCCTTCGCCGGACTGACGGAGGGCTTCTTCCAGCATCGTGATTTAAACTCTGGACTGAATCCCAATGACTCCGACGTGATGCACGTTCAGGGCCGATGTCATCTTCCTGAATAACTGACTTTCAGATGGACTCCTTCTCTCCTGCCGTTCATCTACTGGATTGTCTGAAGTCATGCAGCATTGGCTTTAGGCTTTCAGCATGATCGAGAACTCCAGGAAGCTCAGCAGTGGTCACACTGAATACAAGGGGGGAGATAATCGTCTGTTTTAAACATGAAGTGGTAATAAAAGGAGTTCAAAATACACAGATGTCCAGTGCACCACCAGAGTAGGAATGTTCTTAAGCATCATGACTTATTTCAAGTTCGTTTTCAGCCTCGGAAACCTGATTTGACAAATTCAAAGTCTATTTATTGGCTTTCTGGAGCTTTTAGACATATAATACAATCATCTTCAGCAAATCCGGTTTATCCAGTTTTACAAAATGTGGTTCAGCTTTCAAAGATTGTTTGATATAAAGAGAAGCTCCAGAGAAGCTTCATGGTGGAAAAAAGGTAGAAAAGTGTCATGTTGGATTAAAAAACACTGAACATGGACAAGGTTGTGTTTGTGGTTTTTGTGTGTAAATTGTTTGACGTTTTGTTAGTTTGCAGACTTTTTACAAATACGTATGAATACAGGACCGGTCCACGTCGGTTCCAACAGAACCGGCTCCGATTTTGTTCAGTCCTCCTAAATGTGTTAATTGGGCTCAAAAACTAAAAAACATGTTGGTCAAAATGTGAGATTTTCACATCAGAGAAAGTCTTTATTTTGAATTTTAAAAAAACATAGTTACTAGAAAACCATATTTCGGCTCCATGTCTCCAAACAGCAGCTCAGAGGAGGAGGAGGCCACATTTTTATGAATGGCCTCGAAAACGAAAGAAAGTTCAGCATCTTTAAATCTGCGTAACTTGTAGACGATTGTCTTCACAGCGGTTTGTTTCACATCAGTTTAAAATCCCTACAAGGCTCATGATGCAAGTGAGTCACAGGTTGTGAAACAAGGAGGGGATTTCACTGATGCTGGAGGCCTCCACAGTCACTTCAGTGGTTCAGTCATTGTCAAGGTCAAAGTGAAAACAACTGGACAGGATCAAAAGGGAGTCTCTGTCTTTGTGCCACGTTTGGAATAAACTCAGGCTTCCTGTGAGTAGATTAAGTTCAGAAAACATCACTAGTTGACGTCAGTTTTATTGTTAATGTGTGTTTAAAGGTGGAACATGAGCACATTTCAACTCACCCATAATCAGATTATTTGAACTACTTTCCCAAATGTTTCTGATTCTAAATCAATGAAGAGAAATAAGAGTGAAAAATTAAAGCCTTAATATTTAATACTTTCTAAGATGTTGACATCCGAACGTAGCCTCAAATTTCAATTAAAAAATGTACTTAAAGTGTATTTCTATAGAGAAATAAACAAACAAACAAACATCAATGAGGTAAAACTTTACAGATAGTTGATGAATAAAACGTTTCAGGTAAATCAGACAAGGTCGAGAAAAAATAGTTCTAAAAATTGCTAATTTTCAGCTTCATTAATAAACAATAAGTAAATTAGTGTGATGTTTTAAAATGAATAGAGGGAAAATACTTTTTTATTTTTTATTGATTATTAGTTATTTATTATTATTATTATTATTATTATTATTATTATTATTCCTAAAGTTTGACCTCCATTAAACGTGGTTGCTATGACGACGCTTCATGCAAATGCTCGCGCAGAAATGAGGAACCGAAAAGAGAAGCGCATCATCATCATCATCATCATCATCATCATCTGGGGAACTAAAGTGACACCGGACGAGTGAACCGGTGCTAAAGTGCGGCTTTAACGCAAACGGCGGCCGTTCCCCTTCCTCCGCGGCTCAGGTTTGACCTCCGGTTCGGTCGCTGCTCACCGTGAACCCGGTAAGTCCCGGTAGGTTTTTTTCACCGCTTTCAGAAACGCTGCGACGTTTAATGGCGGAAGCTGCAAAGAAACCGACGTCCTGCTGCTCGGTTCGGTTTAAATCACTGTTCTAGTTTCTGGCTTCACGCTCCGCTGCTTTGCTTTACTCTGATTACTTCTGTGAGACTTTCTGGAGTTTCGTCAGGTCGGGGAACCCCGAGGTGACTTTCTGACTTTACAACCTGCCGTTCAAGTCTCGGTACGGTTTCACTTTAATGTTCCGGTTCGTCCCGTAGATCGGTTCGTCAGCGGGGACGCGGTGAAGATGGACGGCTGGAAGATGGGCATCGGTTCCCTCAGTGAAGAAGTTTTAAACAAGCTGTCGAAGATGCTGGACAACCCCACCCACGGATGGAGGCAGCTGGCCCACGCAGCGTCGGAGCAGCCGAAATTCCGCTGCAGGTGAGACCCTGAAGGCATCACGGAAACAGCGCACAGGGAGGCAGCTCGGCTCATGGTCAGGAAGAAGTCCTCATACAGGCACAAGAATAACTTCAATAGATGAATAATATTACTTAAAATAGTTAGTTTGGTAATGATAAATAATACAAAAAACTACTCATAAAAAAATAAAAACCAAACTTGTAGAGTAAAGACTGCAGTCCTAAATTCAGACTCAGTCATAATTAAGACTAATTGTTAAAAAAAAAAAGGCATGTGTGTTGTTCCTGCAACAAAAAAGAAAAACCACAGTGTGTCTGTATATATTCAATTCAATTAAAACAACAAAACAAAACTTTATTTGTCCCAAGGGGGGCAAATTAAGAAACACAGAGCAGCTGGATCAGCAAATAAATCATTTAAGGTGCAGATGCATGTCTGTGAGGTATGGTAATGTCTCTATGCAAAGAATATATAGTTTGTTTACCTCATGTATATAAAGAGAGAGAGCATCCAGCATCATGAAGCGCTTTGATTCACACTCAGCTCTCCACGTTCTACCGTTTTGAACATGCATGAGGAACTTCAGACTGAATTCACCTTTTCATATCCAAATCTGAGCGACTCACTGGGCTTTTCCTCTGAGGAGTCAGAAATTAATCAAGCCTATCATTCAACTAAAACAAAATGTTCTGCTCAGGAATGCAAGTAAATAACTAAACATCTTAATCAAGAAATAATAATGTGCTTTGCTATTTTTTTTAGTTCTTTAAAAACAGTAAATTTGAAAAATCATGGATAATAATAATAATTATTATATTTTAGCAGTTAAAGTATAATTTAGGTTAAAGAGCTTCTACATACTGGTGTATTAACTATTACAGAAACTTAAGAAATGATTTTGGTGATGAACAATGCTGGTAATTTAGGGCAGTGGTGGCATACAACTTACACTGGGTGGTGGCCCAATTTATTAGTTAAAGTTTTGTGTGTATATATATATGTGTATATATATATATATATATATATATATATATATATATATATACATTACTCACAAAACTCATGATGCCAGTCTCATTCTTCTACAGGAAAGTCCTTTGACACAGCAACCATTGCTTTAAATGTGCTTTACAATTAAGTTGACACCACAGGACTGCCTCTACGTCCACTAACGCCTGCTGAACTCTCCCTGCAGTGAGAAGGAGCTGACCAGCTGCTCCCTCCAGGTGCTGAGCGCTGCCGGCAGCCCAGGTCGGACCCTCCTGGCCTGGCTAGCTGACCGCTCCTGCTCCCTGGACTTCTTGCTCCACTGCCTGAGGAAGATTGACCATCAGGATGCTGTGCAGTTCCTCAGTACCACAGGTAAAGTAGACGTGACCGAGGGGGTCAGATACTGTCTATGCCAGTGTATAGAAGTGTGTTTTTCAGGAAAGAACCCTCTAATGCTCAAAAGTCCAGAACCTGGTCAGCAGAGTTTAACACAGCTTCGGTACCACAGGGTCAAAAAAAAGTCAACAACATAAGCCAATAATCTGCTCATATCAATGGCAAAGATGTTGACATGTGTCTGGATGATGTAGCTTCTTGCTTTGGACACAATGCAGCTGGTTGGATGTGAGAATATTATTCACATGTAGTCACTGGTACTTTTTCCTTAGACCTTTTTGAGTGACGCTAACAAAGGCCCTGGAACAACTACTACAAATGTATATTCTATCTTTTTTTGGCAAACAGGAAACAGTCTTTAGCTCATTCAACCATATCAAAGATCAGTTTTGTCTCCAGCAGTAAAACAAGTTAGTGCACTTCAGACATATTATTACAGACACACCAAGCTGTCTTTGATGCTGCGGGTCTAATTAAAATACCTGCGCTCTCTTTCTGTCTGTGAATGCGACTGTTGGTGTTGCGTGTTCGTACGTTAGTGGCCGAGCTGATCCAGATCACGGTGCAGCCTCAGTCCCAGCAGGCCACAGCGGGCAGCAGGGTGGTGTTGATCTGCAGGGCTTCTGGTCCTCCAGGACTCAGCTACCAGTGGTTCAGAGGCAAAGAGGAGGTCAGTACAGCATCTTATGATTGTGTGATAAAGAAATGACGACACACGCAACAACAAAGCTCCGTCCTGTCAAAGTGAAAATGGATTTCTACGACGTAGCGTCAATTCATTAAAACTAGAAAAAGTAAAATAAGTAACTGTATAAGTATCCCCCCTTCAAGTCAGTATGTAGTCGATAAAGTAGACAAGTCTTCTCCAGAGTCGTAGTTCTCTTGCAGCCTGCATCAGGTTGTCGTCCAGGATTTCACTGTTCTCTGCTGCATCATGCTGCCCTTTAACTTTACAAGCCGTCCAGGACCTGCTGCTGAGAAGCACATCATGATGCTGCCACCGCCATGCTTCACAGTGGATGGTGTGTTAGTGATGATAAAACATAAAAAAACTACACCAACCATGATCCAATGTGGAGAAGCACACAAAGCAAGATGAATACTTTCTATCTGTATCAGACATCACTTGTTTAAGCGATGATTTTTTTGTCCTCTTCATGTTTATTATGAAATGTCTGCTGTAAACTTGATTACAGGATTCTTTTCTTTTAGATTTCGGATGAGACAGGCAGTTCGCCGGAGCTGGTTCTGTGTCCTCTCAGCCAGGCCCACCAGGCTCACTACATCTGTCGGATCAACCACGGAGAAAACTGCGTCTTCTCCCGGTGGGCTCATGTTGGCTTGGCCTCTGCAGGCTCTAGTCCAGGTGACACTTCTCTTCCCCTCCTTCTTTTCTGTTTTGCCTCATCTCATAGGTTATAACGTGATGTGGTTGTGACTCTTGTGCTCTCAGGCTGCAGCAGCACTCTGTTTCCGGGCTCTGTTAGCGGGCTGCGTATCGTCCATCAGCCTCGGTCTCAGGCAGCCTCTGAGGGCGACACTCTGCTCCTGGAGTGCAGCGCAGAGGCCAACCCGCCCGCTCAGTATGAATGGTACCACAACACAGCGCCCATGCCACAGCACAGGACGCGCTCACTCCAAGTAAGTGTGTTCATAGAATCAGCTGTGAGCTGCTGCAGATGAAAACTGTCCTGGTTTAAAGCTCATAAGACGACAAACATAAAGCCACAGCGGTGTGTGCATGAAAAAGGATCAGAAACAAACATGAAGGTGGAGAAAGATGGAGACCAGGAGGGTGATCAAACCTGAACAAAATGTTTGAATGTAATAAATGAATAGGTCACTTTTCTGTTAATTATTCATGTTAATTAATTCATTGATGTGCCGTGTTCTTGTTCCCCGTGTAGATCCCGTGTGTGACCACAGAGCACAGAGGCGAGTACAGATGCAAGGTGTTCAACTTGTACCATCAGACTTGGAGCGACACAGCAACCATCACTATTGGTGAGACCCACAGACACTATTTCTGTGTTTCTTTTAAAACTTTTTTATTTAAAATGTAAATTAATGAGAAAAATCAACGATATCAAGTCGTAACTTTTCTGTGAGTCTGAAACGGTACATTCGTGTGTAAAGCATCACACATGAGCTGAACTGCAGCAGGGTGTAGTAAATAACTACTTCCTGTTTTGCACTTTGACGCAGGCCCAAGTTCCGTCACCGATGCCTCCTGGGTAGAAGTTGATCGTGGTTTAGGTATTCTTTAATTTCTCGTCACATTTTCAGTTCCTCTGTCCTTTCCTGCACATTGATTCCTGTTTTCTGTTGTTGTTTTTTTTTTTTAAAGACTATCGTGTAGTTTTTCTTTTTTAAAACAGCTAATTGTGTCTGAGTGTCTGGTTGTAACCTTCAGACTGTTGCTGTTTGATCAGCTGTGCATCCATCTAATCAGAAGAAAGTGTGTGCATTATGTGTGAGCTTTGCAGAAATAGACAGACATTAAACAAACTGTCAGACGTGAGATAGAGCAGCACGGCAAGTTTTTTAATTTAATCTTTTCATGTCGGTGCTGCCAGAGTCACAAGAAGTCCACAGGTCAACGTTCGGAGCAGGAATACATCCGCTTCGACAGATGGCCAGTCCGCCTCAGCCAGCAAAACAGCTTTATGGTGAGTTCTGTGCAAGCAAGTGGACACAATGCAGAGCAATAAATAAAGTGTAGTGAGGTGCATTACATATCTTTTTAGGGTAGTAGGTCTTTAATGATACCTTATGTGTGCTGTGAATATGTTGAAGACTCTTTACAATATCAGATTTGTATACATGTACAAGAACCTGTGTGATATCGGTGTTCTCCAGTGACAGAAGAAACTGTGTAATATCGATAGAATCTATGCAATGTCAATATTTTCTTCTATGTATAGAATGACCCTGTGCAATGTTGATGTTTTCCACATTCAGACGAATCTGTACAATATTAACAGTGCTCCTGTATATTACTTGCTTCCTTTTGCTGCTGCAAATGTCTCCACTGTGGGATTCATAAAGACTCATCTTATCTCTTCTTCATAGCGACAGACAAAGTTGCTCTCCTGATTGGCAACATGAACTACGTCTACCACACTCAGCTGTGCGCTCCCATTTCTGACGTCCACGAGTTGACCAACCTTCTGAGACAAATGGACTTCAAGGTGGTTTCTCTGCTCGACCTCAACTGGCAGGAGATGCACAGCGCTGTCACCGAGTTCCTGCTGCTGCTTGACAAAGGAGTCTATGGTCGGTCTTTTGTCCATCTCTATAATATGCTCCAAGTCTGTGTCCTCCCTCAGCAGCTGCAGCATTAACAGCACTCTGTCCTGACAGTAAAATTAATGTAGCGTTGTTTCTACAAAATAAAAGCTAAATTAGCAAAAAAAAAGGGTTTAAAAACATACATTTTTGCCTGAAATGGGCTGAAAAGGTTAGAAATCAGACCAAAATGTGAATGTGAAATTTAAAAAAAAATTGTTATCATTATTATTTTAACCACAAATTATATTGTTCTTACTGTATTTAAATCAGCAACAACAAAAACACTTTTTTTTAGCAGATAATTGTTGTAAATTATCTGTAAATATTATATATATTGAGGTTTGAAAAATGGACATTTTTTTCATATTTATTTTGCAGATTTTCCTTGTTTTGTTATACTGTATATAACAGCTACTAAAATCAAATATCAACGTAAAATCAACATATTTTTTCTGCCACATTTTCTTTTTTTTTAAGACACTTTTTTCTACACTGCATCCATGCCACCTTTTCAGTACTTCCTGGTTCTAACACAGTTCATCAGATCTACTAAAAACTTCTTTGCAGGCCTGCTGTATTTTGCTGGTCACGGCTATGAGAACTACGGCAACAGCTTCATGGTTCCCATCGATGCTCCGGAGTCCTACACCTCCGAGCACTGCCTGTGTGTTCAGAATATACTCACCAGGATGCAGGAGAAGGAGACTGGACTCAATGTGTTCCTGCTGGACATGTGCCGCAAAAGGTACGGATGTTCTCTTAAATTAATGGCATGACGTTGAGATTAGACCGTCTGCTGATTATTTTGTGCTTCGCACGTTTTCTTTTATAGAAACTTTAATGACGACGTCATCGTCCAGCCTGGACTGCTGAAGGTGACGGCGAACATCGTGTTTGGTTATGCCACGTAAGTCTCTGATCCTCATCACGCTGCTGGTATCGTATCAAAACTTCCTGCTTCAGGCAACAAGGTTCCACTCACGTGTAACTTCCTGTGTTCAGATGTGTTGACGCCGAAGCGTATGAGGTGAAGAGGGAAGACGTGTCGAATGGCATCTTCATAAGCTTCCTCAAACGACGGGTTTGTGAAGATGAGAAGGTCACTGTCATGTTGGACAGAGTCGCTGAAGGTAGAGAACTCAGTGCAGGAGATTTACAACAAATGCCAAAGCAGTCAGTTGTTTTGTCTGTGCTGAGGTGATTGTGAATGTGTGCCTGATTACCTCCTTATCTGCTCATCGTCTTACATACTGGATCTAATAGTGAGGGCAACAGCAGCTGATTCATGAGCATCTTAACCGCTGAAATGATTCATTGTCATGCTAAGAATGAATTCTGCTCTGAAATGACAGGTATAATCATGCCTCCACTTCACCAGAATATGAGGTGTAGTGCATTTTGAATCATTGGCATGTTTCTGACACACCTACTGTGGATGGAGGAGAGCCAGCCTTCATTTTAGTTCCACCCAAAGTCATGAAAAAGCTTCTGCAACCAGAGAAACACTTCAAACTACTCACATTTTTAATGATGAATGCACCCCAGACACTGAGGTTAGAGGACATGGATGAAAATTTGGTGCTAAAGATTGATTCATACAGTGCAAAAAAAAATAAAATACAGAAAAACCCACAGCAGGTTGCAGTTCAGGCCACATCCCACAGAATCAGAACACGTCTGTCTTTTGGTTGTAGCCAGAAGTGCAACTCTTTAACACTACAGGGGAAAAATGGCAAAATATTAAACTAACCGACATCACCATGAAACTTCCCCAGACGATTACTTACATTGAGCTTCCTCAAGTTTTATGTTTAAATGTGCAAATGGGCAAAAAATACCCTAAAAATGCTGAAAATTTTATTTTCAGAAGAAAGTTCTGAACATTAGATAAAGACAGATCTAAATTTGTTGTTACAGTTTGTTCACATATTAAAGGTTTTTACGTAGGGAATCTTTGATGTCTCTTTTAATATTTCAGAAATCAGAAAATATTGCCAACAACTAAATAAAACATTAATGTTGGCTTTGTTTTTAATTATAAGATGTTTTAGAAAAATCAGGCTGTGACTGACGTATAAACAAACCTTCAGAGTACAGACAGGAATACAACTGAAAAGTTTAATGTATATAAATACTCATACATTTGAGATTTCTGGCTCAGAGTAGAAGAAAAATCAAAATTTTAGAAAATGACCTTTAAAGATGTGCATTATAATTGAAATCTACAGAAGGAAATAGACAAAATGTAGAGAAATAAAGACGTATGTTTACCTTTGTGTGTCCTTTAGCCTGAAAGAATAGATATTATGAAAGCAAAATATACTAAAACCTCAAAACTGACCTGTAGTGTTTTGCCTGAACAGCACCTATCATCAGGTTCTTTGTCCTTCACAGACATGGGTCGCTTTGAGATCACACGGGGGAGGCAGGCTCTGGAGCTTCGCAGTAATCTGTCTGAGAGACGTTCGCTCACTGACCACATTCAGACTGCTGACTGTTCTGCGTCCTACAAAGCCCGAAACCTGCAGTGGGCTGTTGCTCACGGTAGAACATGACGCTTAAACACAGCGAAAGTTACTGTCGTGTTTGTACATCACTGTGTTTGAAGCTGTTTCCTTTTAAACCTTACCTCAGTCAAATGTCTGTGTGAACAGTGCTGCCTACGAGCCACTGCCTCCAGTTCGACTGTGGAGTGAAGGTTCAGCTCGGCTTCGCGGCAGAGTTCTCCAACATCATGGTCATCTACACTCGGATACTCGAGAAACCCAAAGAAATCGTTTCCTGCTCTGCTCAGCTTACTGATTTCCCACAAGTGAGTTTCCCACGAATAGATTCAAAGACACGAAGATGTTGGTTCTGGTGTAACCCTGTCCTGTTTTTGACCTGAAATCCGAATGAGTTGTTGTGGATACTTAAATCTTGTTAAAAATGACTGTTTTCTTTTTGCCAGAGTGTGGACGTTGATCTGAAGAAGAGTAATCAGGAGAGTCTGCTGGAAGCCGGCAGCTTGTTGCTGATCAAGGAGGATCTACCTTCACCGGAGGCTCCCAGTCTTTACACTCGCATCCGCGGCCTGCAGAGACTCAGGGTCAGACTCTTGTCACTCAGAAAAATGGATATGTGCCCTCTGGAGACACTTTACAGACAGAAATGAAACCACTACTTTGAGACTATTTGAGTTAAAGTTCATGTTAAAATAGATGTCAAGTTAGTTTTTAACTCTAAGAGGAGATTTTAAATATGTTTTATTGATTGATAAACTGTGAGAGATATTTTATTGAAGATATTTTCCCTCTCAGCTAAAAAACTCTTTCTGTCCTTTATTACCTTTACAGACGGAGCTCACGTTCACTGTCTGCCTTCATTACATTTACTCCAACATGGATGAAGAAGTGCAAGAGAGGCAGCCGGTAACAATCGGCAAACCGCTGGTCTCCAAACTCAACCTCCACGAACCGCGGCCGGATCGCGTCTGCTCGGCCTCCTCGTCCTTCGGTCTCGACTCCTTCAACCTTCCCGAGTGCTCCTCCTTCGCTGAGGGATTCGCCTCCGTCAGCTCAGCTTCAAACACGTGGTCGCATTACGCAGAAACCGACAGAGCTTCCTCCGGCGCCGACTGTCAGGCTTCACCCAGGGGCGCAAATGTACCGGAGGAGACTGACTGTCCGGACTTGTTGGATTCCCCTGAGTCCCTTGTTGCTGGTAAAAGTTTGCCTCACAGTCAAGTAAATGACTTAAACTACAAATTTAGTGACATGTGCAATTTCCACTCTTATTAAGCATCATGAAGCCCATAATTTAACTGGTGAGTGTTGAGAGATCAGAGCAAGGCCTGTTGCTCAAAGGGAATCCAAAGGAAGCTGTGGATTTGTTGGGTCTAAATTTTGTCTTTACCTTGTTATGTAAAGGGCCTTGAGATTATATATGTTATGAACTGGCGCTATATAAATAGAATTGAATATAATTTAATTGAATCATAAAAATGACAAAAGGGGGAAAGACTGTGCATTTGCCTTATCAGTAAAGCTGGCACAGACCTCAGATCACTGTATCAGTGGCGTTTTTATTCTTTGGTGTCCATAACTATAAACCTGGATATATATATATATTTTTTGGGGGGGTTATTTTTGTTTTATTTATACTATAACATTTAAAATAAGTAGCTCTGGACCTGTTCTGATCATGCATTAAAGCTTTTGAAAATATTGTGACATGCTTGTAGTTGATCATAAATCTTGGGATATCAGTTTACTCTTCATAAAAGTCTGATTTGTTTTTTGAAAGTTGTCTCACAGCAGGATATTTAAGGCACTGACGTTATTGTGCATATGGACGCTTCCTATAACTTCATATAGAACGTGACTTTTCCAATCATTAAACAAAATATAGCAATAAAAGCACCGTGTATTGTTTGTTGCTAAGCTATTATCACGCTTTGGGCAGAATTTACTGTGTTTTTGTCATCAACACACTCAGCAGATTTTCTGTTTGTTAGTTTTTTATTCTGGGTATTTTGTTGTGTGACTTTATGGATGAACTTTTTCTCCTCACCAGCACCTGCATACCTTCTCCTGCACTGTTCTATTAAATGAAATATATGAAAACAAGGCACACCTTTACGAATATACGGCTCTGGAAATAATTAGATCTCTATGACCACTGTTTTCTGCCTCTACCTTTGTGGTTTTTGGAGGAGCCATACAACTTTTCTTCTTAAGGTTTCTGTTTCTAAGCTTGTTCGCGACGACTGTTTCGCTGTATTTCTTTCATTAAAGTTAAAATCTAAATATTCTGGGTCATCCTGTCAACACGGATAATTATTTAAGGTCTGTTTAGCTTTTGTCTTCATTGTGTTAAGTTTTTGTAATGTTTTAGAATTGTTTTTGTATTTCTGAAATAAACTGGAAAGTAATTACACTGCAGATCTAACTTTTCCTTCAAAAATAATTATTTAGACTCTTTTTAATGGGTGTCAGGAAAAAGTTTGTCATCACTGAATGTAAAGATCTCTGTCCTTATAGTTGAATATTTGATTGCAGAGTGTTTTGATCAAGGTGTAAACTGTAAAACATTTTTAGTTTATTCAGCAAAGTTCCCATGCTGCCTTATAAATAAAATAAAAAACAAATGAAAAATACAAGAACTCATTTATTTTTAGGTTTTAAAGTGGTCTGAAATTAAAATGAAGCTTGTCCAGTTCAATTAACAAGAAACTAGCAAAACTCCCACATCCACGTTAAGTAAATTACAGAAGATGAGTTGATTTTAATGACTTCCGGTCCCATGTTTTCAGTTTATAACAGGCAGTCTGCGCTATGACTGGACTGCGCATGCGCCGTGACGTCAACTTGGCTCTCGCCGTCCTCCATTTTGCAGCAGTTGTGCAAACCTGCTGCTTTCATTGGTGGTGCAGCATCAGTGCATAAAGTTCTAAAACGGGATTACCGAAAAGCTGAGGAGGTATTTTTCACGCACGGAACGATGGCGGACCCATCAGCAGACCTGGAGGTTCCGGAGGGCGCCGAGGTTCGCAAACTGTCCGAGCTGAGAGTCATCGATCTGAAGGCCGAGCTGAAGAAGCGAAACCTGGACACCACGGGCGTGAAGAGTGTGCTGTCGGAGCGGCTGAAAAAGGTCTGTTACCCGCTGTCTGTTTGAGCATTTAGACCCTGGAGGTTATTAGTACGAAACTGTAATAACTAATGCACAAAACAGTTCTGAATTTTCCATATTTGTGAACGTACCCTGTCAGTCAAACCAGTAGCATCCCTAAGCTAGCTACATTAGCTTAGGAGGCCCGTTGACCTGAACTGTGTGCTAACAATTAGCTACTGTTTGCGCCGAAGCTAGCTAGCTCTCTTTTACACCCTTGAGGGCATTTCTTTTTTATTAAACTCCTCCTGATTTGTACATGTGAGTAAAGCGTTTGGGTTTTTGCTCCTCTCCCCTCACAGGCAATCGAGGACGAGGGTGGAAATCCAGACGAGATCATCGTCGCCCCGGAGTCTGCTCCCAAGAAAGCTAACGTTACACCGAAGAGGGCTGCCAAAGGTAAAGTCTGCACATGATGCACGGTCTGCAACATTAAACCCTGAATGCAATGTATGCTGGCCTATTTTCCGTTTGAACTAATCCGTAGTGGAGGACAGTGTCCAGTCTGCTGAATGACACTTGACACTAGATGTCGTGCTATTTCATGCTTGTGCAGCCTCCAAATGCACATGACCACAGTGTGCTGCCTCATAAATCATCTGGACGTGTTCTTTGCTCTAAGAAACTGTCACCAGATGCTACTAGCTTGCATATTAAAGTCATTCACTGTCCACTTAATGCTGAATCTTGTGCAGTGCATGGGGCAGGATGTTTGCACCAGATTAGTTCAGTGACTCTGTTTACAAAGCACTGATAATGCTGTAATGATTAGTGTGATTTTGTTGAAGCATAAGCTTCCAGAGGTATTTAAAATTCCATATGAGATCAGTTCTGGCATCCAGAGCTCCAACCACCAACCTGACAGTCTGTCTCCTTCATCTTTACTCAACCCAGTTAGCTTTAGTTTAAAATGTAGTGTGCCTTTTGACAATAAACACTTCATAAAACTGACATTTATTGAACTTATCCAGCTTTAATAAACTCGTTGCATTCCAGGGCAGGTTGTGAAACAGCTTAGTAAATATGGTATTTGTATAACTTACCAACTTCCAGCTGCAGTTTGTGTTTAAACCTCCCTTGTTTGGTCCTCCTGTTCAGGGCTGCTGCCTTCATCATGTTCACCACATTATCGTACCTATTTGACATATCGAGGCTCTAAGATTTGCGATTTGAATGCTGAAATGTGAAAATATCACACAGCCCTACATTGATGTAATAGGTCGACCTTCATGAATAATGTTCGTTCAGATGATGCCGATAATTGATAAAATGTTTGAAAAGATATGGATTCAATTTAAGCATCGTATTGGAGGCGTTATATTGAGGCTGAGCATCATCCTTTAGGTGATCATGTGTGCTCTGAATAAGGTGTTAACGGTCACGATTATTGAGTCAAATGACTGTATTTATAGTTCATTTACAAAAATAATCACTGCACATTTACCAAAGCACTTCAGAGCAGAGAGGACGAACATGATCAGTCAAATCTTATATATAATCTCAATGTTTCGTGTTCCTGTGGTTCCTTCACACATTGTAGTTGGTCAGATGGTTTCCTGCTGTGTGTCAAGCTGTAGCCCTGCAACTAGTTCTACTTTTATAAGTCTGAACATTTTCTTGGGGCTATGAGCGACTTGTTCTGCAGTGGGAATTTTTGAGGTTGTTGTCGACACACATCTTACAGTTTTGATACCTTTGAACCAACACCCAAATGACTTGGTCTAAACTACAACAAATGTTTTCTGCAGATACCAGGCCTGACAATGATGAACCAGAGGACAGCACTGTTGAAGAAGATTCCCATGACGGACATGTAAGTTCATTTTGTACAAGTTAAAATGCTTGGAAGCGCTCCTTTCCAACCTGACAGCTGTTGGCCTCTAGATGTCCTCCCATTTTTACTGTATTCAAAGTTCTTCTTCTTCTCATCAGCAGGATCTCCAGGACGATTACGAGAACATGCAGGAGATGGACATCCTCGACATGAATGTTCTGGACGAGACGGAGAACGACAACGGAATACCAGCTGAGGACGACGCAGACTTTTACAGAGAGGAAGACGCGATGCTGAACGATGACAATGACTTCAGGACGTTTGAGTCAGAAGATGAAGCGAGAGGTCCAGAGGTGAGAGACCAGATTGCAAACTTGGCTGCCAAATGTCCTCTTTGAAGTTTTAACGTTACTCTATTTGAATGTGCTTTAACAGATAGATGATGCCGTGCTGTTGGACAAGGACGAAGAAATGACGTATTCGTCCATCAATATGGTATGTTCACACACACACACACACACACACACACACACACACACACACACACACACACGTTGGTTATGTTTAAAGCAGTGGTAAAAGTCAGCATCACAGACTCATAAACGCATCACTTTCTCTGTTTAAGGCTCAAGATCCAGATCCAGACGCGGACGATGTGAAAGAAGCAACAGGTACTGTAAAAAGTGGTTTATCAAAAGGCAGAGACGTCTTTTTACAGTGTTGAGCTTGGAAATGCAAACACGTTTGTTAGTTTCAACCAGGAAGAGAGACTGGAAGCCCAAAGGGAATTGCTGGCTTTGTGCTGAAAGTTGGTTAACCACAATTAATAATGTCATCGTGCGTAAATGTTCCCATTTGTGTTCTCATATTCTACGACAGCTGTGGTTAACAATTTGATGCACAGTGGCAGCAATTACATGTCCAGGTCAGGGAGGTTTGAGCTGTTGCAGGTGATTGCAGTGTTTCTAGGTTGCCGCACGAAGATCAAGACAAAGAAGATCCCTCAAGATACATCAACTGTTACGGCTTTTTAAGGACACTGACTCAGAAATCAGCTGGATATGAAACTGCTGGACTTGAGCTGAAGTTGTGGTTAATACAAACGGACGCTTGGAAAAGTGAAAAGAGGTGCAAAGAGGATGGACTGCAGCGAGCCTCCACTGCTGCTGCACTGCTGTTCTTGTGGCTCTCTTCAACATCGAACTCTTTGTCTGCTTTGGATCAGGTGAACACAGTGAAGTGGTTCAGCCGCTTTAGGTGCTTGGTTGTCCTCCAGCCTTTGGGTTCATTTCCAGTCTCTTGTTAGGGCCTACTTCGTTTTAATACATAGTTCTAAGAGCACAAGCCAGTGGTCATGACGTTCCTAATCCAGGCCTTTGCCAGTTCCTCGTTAACCATTGCTGTGTTTCAGAAGTGATTAAACTCTGTGCCATTCTATTCCTGTTAAATCCGTAGAAAATGACAAAGTAGCCGGGTCTTGTTTATCTGAGCCGCTTAACGAAGATCGCCACCAGAGCGACGGGACGAGCCCCGAAGAAGAGGATGCCGCCACCGCCGGAGGGGAAGACAGTGTGTCCATCAAGCCCGCCTCCGGAGATGTGGAGGGCGACAAGGATGTTGTGGAGGCTGACGCCAAAGAGGTTGGGGACGCACAGAAAGTCCCAGAAGAGACATTTGACGCTGAAAACAAAAGCTCGCAGGCTGTTAGTGTAAGCGAACAGGGCGGCGTGGGTGAAACTGTTGATTCAGAAATGGGGGCTAAGGAGGGTGAGGAGGATGAGAAGACAGAAGAGAAAGCTGCTGAGGATCCGACACTGAAAGAGTCCTCTTCTGTAGAGGGCGATGATCAGAAAAAGAGGTTTGTTGCTTTCTGTATACTAGAAACCAAAATGGTTATCTCTGTTGCATTGGCCCCTTTGTGCTAGCAAAATTTGGATGCTCTTTTGGAGGTAAAAACGTTCTGTGCATTTGTCTGTTTTCATTTGTCATTCTTTACACTCACCTATCCCACTTTATGACCCATTAAGATGTAATGCATTGGGACTGTCAGAGGGTGTAACTCCATTTGTTCACCGTTAAATCACTGCACTGTGATACATGCTGGGTTGATCACTGCAATTAATGTGTTGTACCATAAAACAAGAGTGAAAACATCTCTGAGGAGATCCCCGATGTCCTCACTGCATATTTAGGGCTGTTTTTCTTTCTCTCTAGCTCTGAGGAGAAAGATGCCAAAGCCGAGCCAAAAGATGAAAAGGGTGAGTGGACAGAGTGACTTCTTTGCTCTTGTGGTCTCAGTTTCAAAGAGTTTACTCTCAGTAATTAATAATGTGTGTGTGTGTGTGTAGCCGCTGGAAGTGGTGCTGCAGCGAGCAGTAGCAGGAATCTGTGGGTCAGTGGTCTCTCCTCCACGACCAGAGCGACTGATCTGAAGACGCTGTTCAGCAAATATGGCAAGGTCAGTCTTCTGGAATCTCACCAGTGCCACCAGGCCTGGCGTTTATGTTCCAGTTTCATCCAGAAGAAGTACGAATGGTTTGATGCATTTTTATGCATCCTGCAGGTTGTTGGCGCCAAGGTGGTGACCAACGCCAAGAGCCCTGGAGCTCGCTGCTACGGCTTCGTCACCATGTCGTCCACAGAGGAGGCCACCAAGTGCATCAGCCACCTTCACAGGACCGAGCTGCATGGCCGGATGATCTCTGTGGAGCGGGTGAGTGTTCAGGAAGCTGTTTGGCTTTTGGTGCGTTCATGTGTGCAGATTTTAACCCAGATACTCACTTTGTGGGTCCAAGAACGTGAACATTTTCACACAGAACTCTGTTTCCTGTTAAGTGAAGGCTCTATCAGGTGTAATTGAATGTAGAAAGCTTTATTACACTTAATGTGTCGTCCTGATTAGACACTGTGCAATAAATAAGTCGTAAAGGGTTTATGGAGCTGTTATATTATGAACAGACCAGATATTTCAGCTGCAATAGTTTTGACTAACGTTATAACACAACACATCATTTATCTTTATCAGCCTCAGTAAATCTCATGCTTCAGGTTTTATCTGTTGGTGACAGAAGTGACCTGAATTGAAAGTTACCTGATACCAACCAAAGAAGGTGTTTTTTGTTGTGTCTGTGGTGTGAAATTCAAGCTGCTCCTTGTGAATGAACTCGTTGCTATTTTAACATTGCAGGCTAAAAATGAGCCCGCAGGAAAGAAGCCAGCAGATAAGAACGACACCAAGAAGTCTGGCGGCGACAGGAGACACTCCTCTGACTCCAAGTATGACCGCCGGCAGGCTGCTGCATGTTTGAGTGGATAAATTTAACACTTTAGGCAACAATGACATCAAACAGATTGATTGTAGTCACACCCTCTGTTACTAAAACTTCTCCCCTCAGCTGTGTAGCTTTAGTTCAGAGTGCTTTTAAATGTCACTGGTGCTGATATGTTTACTACGGCTTACCCCAGGGGCAGTTTGTTAAAATCCTTAGCCCTTAAATCCATCAACTGAGAATCTATCAGAGCTATGAAGCTGACTGAACAAAAGGTTTTATTATCTGTCATCATGGTTGTTTCAAATCTTGCGTCTCTAATGTCACGATATGTTGAACTTTTCTGCAGGTCTGATGGAAAGGATGAGAAGTCTGAGGGAGAAGGAAAAGATGGGAAAGGTGAGAGATGTGGGATCATTTCCAGTTTCAATATAATCACATTAGCCTTCAATAAACCCAAACAACAGACCACCAAATTAGTCTCAAACACATTTTCTCACTTATTTGACGTTTGATAGGGCGGAATGAGAGGACTGTGGTTATGGACAAGTCCAAGGGAGAACCAGTCATCAGCGTGAAAACAAAAAGCAAAGAACGGGTAAGAAGTCATTCACCATTTATCTGTTAGACTGTGAGTCGTATCGTTGCCACATGAAGTGATTCTAATATCAGGATTACATTTGTTTCAATGGAAGGCTTTTTGTTTTGACTCCAGGACATGTTTAACGTTTTTCTCCTCCTCGTCTTTTCAGAGCACAAAGAGTCGAGACCGCAAATCTTCCAGCAAGGAGAGGAAAGACATCCTATCGTTTGACCAGATCAAGGAGCAGAGGGAGAGGGAGAGGCAGAGGCAGCGAGAGAGGGAGATCAGAGAGGTGGAGAGACGCAGATACACGTAAGCATCACGCAAACCACCATGTAAATCCACCACCGGGCTGCATGACGCACAGATCAGCACCAAGGATCATGTGTTTGCTTTGAATATTAACTCGTGCAGGTAGTTTAGAAACATCCGTCATAAACAGCTCGTCTTTGTCCTGTAGAATACAAAAAAGACTCCAATCCCTTGTTTGAGGTTGAAGAATTGTGTTCCAACAGTTTGTAAATATGATGGACGAGATGAAACTTTATCCACTCGTCTTCTATCGGGTCATGCTTTGGATTCATCATGTTTCAGTCAGTTGATGGATTCTTGCTGTTTTCCTTTCAGCGGCGGCCGCGATCGGGACAACCGCCCAGACCGCGAGCGCGAACGAATCCGGCTTTTCCGTGAGAGCGAAGAGAGGAAGCACTTGTTACGAAAGAGACACTGGCTGGAGGTACGGTCACATGATTGACTTCTAACAGCAGCATCTGTGGTTGACTTTGCAAAATTCTCATTCTGTGCTTCAAAATTCTCATAAGGAGTCCGCCGGTGGTCATGACGAACGATTTCATTCGCAGACTGAGAAGCAGCGCCTCGACGCAGACCGCATGGAGCGCCAGTTCCTGGAGCGTGAACGGCTACGTATAGAGTACGAGAGGCGGCGCGAGCAGGAGAGGATCCTCAGGGAGCGCGATGAGCTCAGACGGCAGCAGGAGCAGCTGCGCTACGAACAGGAGCGACGGCCCATAAAGAGGCCTTACGACATGGACGGCAGGTACGCAAAGACATAGTGTAGTGATGGATATATTGATTAACCCTTTCAACGCTATAGCCCCTATACTGGTCTGCTGCTTGCAGCCCGGTATAGCGGCTCTGGTATATGGTGACTTTCTGTGACATTCATTTTGATTGGCTCTCAGTGGGAATCCCCTTATGTGAACAAGCATTCAGTCATTAAATACATTTTCCAAATAGTAATAATAATAATAATAATAAGAAGAAGAATAGTAATTGCATACATGGTTCTCTCCAGCGTCATAACAGACTAACAACCTGTTACGCTGCTGCCTGAAAAAATTACGCTACAAATTGGACCGATACGTTGTTTTCGAGGGTACGTAACGGGAAAATATTTAACAAGTGCCGACGGAGTTTTACTGCCGTGTTCTTCGCTGCTATTCGCTAGCGTAAAGGAATCCTGGCGAGTACCCTGGCATATAGGCATATATTACCAGTAATTCAAGCCAAAGTTACTTAGCGTTGGAAGGGTTAACCTCTGAGCTCAAAGGAGTTTTTGAATGTTTTTTGGCTCCTGTAACATTTTTAGAAACTGTGTGTTCAGTTTTCACTGCGATATAAAGTCGTGCACCTCCACGGAAACAGAACAACCATGGCAGGAAGTAAACACAACCTACAAATGAAAATGTCTTTAGTGTAGTTTAAGACACTTAAAATAAATCATGAACACAAGTTAAATTGGGTCATTTATTTTGAAAAACATTGAAGATTGAGCAAAAACCAAAACAACTCCATGTGCAACATTTTTCCAGGTACACACAGGTGTTGTCAGTAGTGGAAAAAGTGGTAGATATGTAACATAGTAACATAGATATGTTACTAACATTTGTCCACATCTGTCTATGATGTGAACACAGCCCCAACAAGTCCCTGAGTTTTCATCATGTGACTGTTCGATGCAGCTGAGTCTCAAATGGCTTCACAGTAGCACTGAGGATCAAACAGTTTTTACATTTTTGCAGGATCCCGTTTGTGCAAATGGTTTGTTTTTGGTAAATTAATAAACAAGACGTGTAGAATTAATTGATTTTGATAAAATAAAACAATTTTACGGCCGTCTTATAGGTTAAAATCCAACGTTTCTGGTTCTTACGGTTCCTGCTCCTGATAAACGGTGTAATTCTGGCTATTTTACAGATTCTATTTATTACATAATCTGCCTTTCAAACCTGCCAGTGCATTCAGAGGATTAAGCAGATGCCCTCATTAGAATATGACTGACGAGCATGTGATGGTTAGTGACCAACATGTGCACTGATTATATCGACTGGATGAACCTCAGTGTGTTTGTCGTTGCTGCTCTTTGTAGGAAAGACGACTGGCCCGACAAGCGCATGGGCATGGATGACCGGTACGGCCGTTCAGACTTCAATCGCCAAGAACGTTATCAGGACTTCGATCACAGAGACCGGGGCCGTTACCAGGACGACATGATGATGGACAGGCGGGACAACACTCGTAGTATGGGCGGCGACAGAGACGGTCAGGTGAGAGGATCCTCCTTCCATCGGTTACTTTCCTGGAAACAAGACGGGAACGAGTTGATGTGTTCTGTTGACTCCCTCAGCAGCAGCCTGGATGTGTTGCATGTACGTCGGTGGAGCCACTGAGGTTCAGTCACATGTTTTCACTGTGGCCAGAGTCAAGCAGATCACTGTAGAGTCACTGCCTTTGCGTGAACAGATGCTCTCACCGTCGCTGCTTTGTTGTGCTGCACAGCTTCAGTAAAACGTGAAGCTTTGAAACCTGGAATTTGCAGCATTTGCATGTGAGCAGATCATTAGAGAGGCTGAGCGTCTGCGTCTCTTGTTGCAGCACTTCTCAGACAGACACGGCAGAGAAGGCCGGGACTCCTGGGGAGGCTACGACAAGCGAATGAATCCCAGGTGAGTGTCACACTGAGTCCAAGCCCTGTAAAAACCACAGACCTTTCTCCTCAAGAAAGAAATGAAAAATTACAATTTCCTTTTGCGTTTTTTTTAAATTTTTTTTTAGGGAAGGAGGTCGTGACTGGGACTCGGGCCGTAAGATGGATGGAGACAGGGCGTGGCAGAGTACGTATAGCTGTCCTGTAATGTGTGTTTATGACTGCACAGCTACTACCAACTTCATATACATCTTTATAAATATGTCCTGGAGTGCTGTGAGCAGCTCTTTGTGCCTCGTGGTTTGTGGATCTTAGTGGAGCTGGACTGTGTTTTGTTTTAAAGGTCCTGAAGGTGTAAAATCAACCCGGTTAGGATATGAAGACATTAACTTGTGCAGTTCATCAAGCCTCCCTACAAACAGTTAGCCTCCCAGCTTTACAAGCCAATAAGAATCTGATCCAGGTGCTGTGACTGAAACACAGATGCAGAGGGAGTTCTCTTCCTGAAGGAGGCAGCAGCAGCTCACTGGTTTTCAGAGCAGAACATTCTGAAGCACAGTCATCGTCTCTGCAGTATTTTAAGCTGATAAACTGACAGACGCTGTGTGGGGATGTGTGGGATTTGGATCAATTGGCTGAAAAGAGGCACTAAATGTGACCTTTGTGGACGCTTTTCTGATTCCCTGTAACCTTCTTCATGAGTGATGGCTGTCTTCTCGTCATCTGGCAGTTTCTTTTCTTTTAGGCCAGGGGTCTCGAACTCCGGTCCTCGAGGGCCGCAATCCTGCAAGTTTTAGATGTTTCCTTCTTCCAACACACCTGATTCAAATGATCAGCTGATCATCAAGCTCTGCAGAAGCCTGATAACGATCCTGATCATTTGAATCAGGTGTGTTGGAAGAAGGAAACATCTACAACATGCAGGATTGCGGCCCTCAAGGACCGGAGTTCGACACCCCTGTTTTAGGCATTATTGAGCGATAAATTTACATTCAAACATCAGTGAGTTTTATTGATACAGCACAAGTTCACAGCATTTAAAGTGAAGACTTTAAACAGAGACGCCAACAAGCCAGAGTTCCCTTTGAGCAAAGAAATGATCGATTGACTTTACATCTGCATCTTTTCCACAGAATAATAGTGATTTAAACATTTTTTGCAGCCTCCTTATGTGAAATTCATCATGTTTACGGCTGCATTACATCACATTTAATTGCATGTGTTGAAGATGATACTGTAATTATTGAACCACTGTGATGAAATTCAGACAAAACTTACAGTCGAACGCCTCTTGTGTAGATTTTGTAGAGAAAACGGGTCGTCTCATAATTATTCCAAAGCTGTCGTCTTGTCTCTGACTTTATTTGCTTTTTACTTCCAGGTCGAGACGGCGCCATTCCGGGCCAGAGCCACATGACGCGTGGAGGAGGGATAGCCGGGTGAGTAGCTTATGGACTGGGTCTCATTGTTTTTGGCAGTTTGTTTTTATGAACCTGTTAAAACCAGTCAGCGCTCTGATTTAAAACCGTCCTGATTGTTTTGTGTGTTTTCGTCAGCAGCCGCGGCGGCTACATGAACACGGGAACATCTCAGTCGCTCTCCGGAGCTCTGAACAGACAGAACCAGCTGATGCAGGGCGGCGGGCTGCAGAGCGGAGCCTTCGGTCGACGCTACTGATCTCCTCTTTTTGTACTTTTTTTTTAATTAGGATTTTTTTTTTGTTTTTGCCACGTTTCCCATCCATTTCTGATGTAAACATTGTTTTTTTTTTTTGTCCTACCTTGTTTGTAAAACACAACCGTCTTGTATATGCGAGTTGGCCCTTGTGTCGGAGAGTATGCTGTGTGTAATAATAATAATAATAAATTCAGATGTTTATTAGACACTTGGGTTGAGGAGTTCCACCTCATCCGTCTCCTTCCTGTATCTCAGTCGGTTAGTTTTTTCGTAGCGTTCTGAGCCTCTTTTCATCATTCTTTCATCAAGGCTCCTTGTTCACGACGTTCTTTTTAAAACACATGCTTCAGTTTTGCTGCAGGTGGAAAATAAAAAAGGTTTTTTAAATTAAATGTCACCTTTTTGATGATCCGTGCTTGTTAGGTTTCTTTTTTTAAACGAAAATTTCAAGCCAGATTTGTGATAAACTCTAAAAGTCGATGTGTGATACCTGAAATGTGTTTTTAGTTTTGTGCATAAAAATGTTCTGTTTATTCAGTTGAAAGTGTTATTTTTCTTTTCTCTCCGTTATTTTATGCTCAGCACAGCGACGGGACAGCCGGTGTCTTGTACATTCACAGGGTGGAACTACAATAAAGGATTTTTCATCATTTTGCAGTGGTGCTACTAAAACGAACAAAGATCTCAGACTCATATTTCAAATGGCTGAAACGCTTTCTTCACCTTCAGAGGCTCACGTTGAATATTTGCTAAAACTAAAGGTTTTTATTCTAAATGCAGTGTATAAGCTTAAAACAGGTGCTTTGGCTCAAGAATTAAGATCGTTAAAGTCTGAAATGGAAACTTTATTCACCAGGTCACCTCAGAAGAGTAAGAAAAAACACCTGCGTTGACATTTAGGAGTGTACTTTCAGTGGTGTTTTACTGAGTTTTATGTTGATAAATCATCGTTGTTGACAGCATTCATCTTGACATGGACATTGGATCCAACACTAGATGTTTTTAGGGAGGGGATGAGATGCAGTAATTTTAAATTTTACCAGCAAGATGGCAGCAAAGGCTCAATCTCTGAACTCCAACAAGTCAACGTGACGCCATTTGTCCAGTGATAGACACACCTTAATAACATACCATCAGTGTAAGGATCAGCTTCACACCCTAAAATAAAAAACACTTCTAATGATAAGAAGTCTGGGATGAGTTTGTGTAGATTTCTTTAAAAGCAGAACAATAAATCCGTCCAGATTAGGGTTAGATAATGATACCTACAATGGATCTGTTTTTATAAACTTACTTGATTCATCTTTGTAACTTACAAACTATCAACCAGAGTTTCACGATCCTGGAACTGGTTCTCATAACAAAACAGAAACGGTTGTTCTGGTGCCTGGAAATCTCCAGTGTTTGATGTTATTTTCTCTTCTCGTGATAATAATCAAGTTCAACCTGTAAAAAATAAACTGATTTTAAGAGTAAATTTTAAGTAATTTATTGTTATTTTACAGATTCTCCAGCTTTGTTAAATAACAGATAATAACTGGTAAAATCACAAATAAAGTCTTAATTTACACGTGAACTCTTAAAAATAAAACTGCACAAAACTGTTGATCATGTCCACATCAAAGATCTGTATTTTTAAAACTAGAAATATGTTCTCTATGTTTCACCGTGTTGTTTTCTCACAGTATTAAATCAGCAAATTGTTTTACAGATATTTGCCCCCAAAAATTATATAAACTCAGGATTAACATGTTATGTGGTGCTTTTATGTGTTAGAAGACACATTGCGGATGAAATGAGTCAGATTTCCGTATACGGCTGCATGGATCACTCCGACGCTAAAACTGTCCATTTAGTAGCACAGAGGAGTTCTACAGAGCTTCAGGTGAGCTGGTGTGCTCGAGCTGCAGCGAGTGGCGAGCTGGGGTTTGTAGAGTGATGTCTGGACTTCATAGATCTGCACCTTCTGAAGGAACAGTGTAGAGTTACATCTAAGATGTTTTTAGTTCATTAACATGCCTCTTAAACGCTTGAGGCTCTTTGTCGAGTTCCTCAAGCCGCTATTGAGCAGTTTCATGGTATTATAACGAGATGATCCATGTTTTTCACTTCACCCGTCCTGGCCGATCAGCGTATGTGTATTTTTTTTCGCTATAACAATGGTTTTGGACTGTGGGATGAAGTTTTGACCCTTGTGCTTCAAACTCAGAAGGAAATGAGTCGAGCAGCTGTCAGCGCTGGCGTAGAAACTTGCACCACATTTAGCTCCTTTTTCAAAACTTAAAAAGAAAGGAACTCTGACTTCATTGGTCTTATCTCAAAGTTCCTTTTTTAGAAATAGAGTTCCTGTATTTCAGAAGATACTTTCCGCCCCCGAGGCTCTAAAGATCATGTGAAAGTAAGTGTTGGGGATGGATGACGCCACATGAGTGGAAAAGTACCCAACGCCAGGTCGCCTGTGGTCATTCGAGGATGCTGGCTCCCTCAGAATGAGAATTCTGTATATTACTGACATTAAAATAAACCTGGTTCCAGAAAAAACAAGTTAAAAAATATAGATATTTGATTGTGGACTGTTTATGCCTGTTTTTATATTTATTGTACAGATTGATGATCGATCCTGTAGGAGCTGTGACAATCTGCTGGGTCAGACGTATACATACTGATATTTGGTTCAACGTCCTTCGACTGTTTCCACCTCAGCTCGATGCTTTTGATAGCCGTCCACAAAGTTCTGGTTTTATCTTTGACTCCTCTCAGCAGAACTGTTGCAGTTAACCCTGTTCAGGACTTTTGGGGTCTACGTCAACTATCAAAGTCTGTAATGACTACCAACAAATATTTTGCACATATGCTTTCTTGGGGTCCAGTGGATCCCAAAAGACCTTCTACATATGGAACATGAAGGTCCTGAATAGGGTTAAATGAACTTGCTTCTTCATCACAGTCTACAGATTCTCAGTGGATTTAAGTCCGGACTTTGGGAAGGAAACATCTAAAACATTTCTTCCAGCCTGGTTTGTCCGTTTCTTTACTGCTTTTCATGTGTGTTTGGGCTCATTGCCTTTTGAAACACTCAACTACATCCAAGATCAACCTTCTGGCTGATGATTTTGGTTTTTCCTGAATAATGTGGAGGTGATCCTTCTTCTTCATTATTTTCTTTAAGGTTTCACTGGCAGCAGAACTGCCCCAGAGCATGATGCTAACCCCACAAACACCACAGCGGTGTTTGTGGGGTTAAAGGCCTCACCTTCTCTCCTCCAGACATATTTCTGATCAATGTGGCCAAATAGCTGAATTTTCATTTCGTTTGACCGCAGAACTTTCCTCCAGAAGAACTTTTCTTTGTCCATCAGCAGCAGACGTCAGTGGAGCTTCAGCTCAAGGTTCTGCTCCAGCTCACGTTGATGTGAAACACTGTGAGCAATGAGAGCCTCTGATTCATCGCAGAGCTGCTTTCTGGTGATTCTTGGTTGACTCTTGACCATCCTGATCAATTGTCCCTCAGCAGCAGCAGATGCTTTGTGTTTCCTTCCTGATGGTGGCGGGCACACAACAGCACCTGCACTTTATACGTACAAATAATGGTTTGCACAGATGTGTTTGGGACCTGCAGCTGCTTTGAAATGCCTCCAAGGGACTTTCCAAAGTTGTTCAAGTCGATGCTTTCCCTTTTGTGATCTTTTTCAAGCACCTTAGAATTCCCCACTGCAGCGTTTCTGGCTGAGTCTGATGAGTGTATCAAAGGGCCTCGTTTAGAGAGGCTCAGAGGAGTCAGCAGCTGTAGTCAACCGTAATCACTCACAGGAAGTCAAGCTACCAGCGTTGATTAGCACAACTTTCTACAATACCACACCGGATCACTCAAGTTCCTGTTTGTTTGTTTTTGACCCAGCAGATGCTGTCATATTTCCAGAAGACAGAATCCATTGAAGAACCAAAATACATGACGGTTAGTTTGTGACGGCGTTGAAGTGTTTCAGTAACTCCATCATAGAAAACTTAGAGTTCTAGGAGTCATTGGAAACTCAAGACTGTCATGATATACATGGACTTTACAAACTTTTGTTCATGACTGTTCTGGCCCAATTTTATATGGCTAGCACGTTAATTCATGTTTTGTCAGGATTTTAGTAGGAATTTGTGACGGGTAATTTAACAAAACTGTGAAAATCTGTGAAATAACATGATTTGTTACATCATATATTATTATATTACAAAATAAAATGTGTTAATTGGACTGAAAAGATGGGCTGCAAGGTGGCCCGGTGGTTAGCACCGTAGCCTCACAGCTAGAAGGTCGCCGGTTGGCGTCCCGGTGAGGACACCCGGGATCTTCCTGCGTGGAGTCTCCATGTTCTCCCCGTGCAGCGTGGGTTCTCTCCGGGTTCTCCGGCTTCCTCCCACAGTCCAGAAACATGCTGAGGTTAATTGGTGATTGTAAATTGTCCGTAGGTGTGAATGTGAGTGTGCTTGGTTGTCTGTCTCTAAGTGTAGCCCTGTGATAGACTGGTTACCTGTCCAGGTGAACCTGCCTTCACCCTGAGTCAGCTGGGATAGGCTCCGCCCCCCACGGCCCTAGTGAGGATTAAAGTGTAGAGATGATGGATGGGACTGGAAAGATTCCGTCAAATGAAAAATACCATGTTGTAATTTATTAAATATATATTTTTTATGCTGCCATATTTTGAACATCATGCATCACATGACATAAACAAGCCAATGAAATGTAACTATAGTACTAACATTCAATCACATTCCTTTAACGTCATCCAGCCTAAATCTTGATGTGAGCCTAAAATCTTGCCCAGTTTTTCTTTCATTTTCTTTTTGTCCACTAGAGGGTGTCATACAGTCGTACATAGAAGCTCAAACTGGTCGTTTCGCGTTTTATTTTAGGCTTTTTTCGTTCAAATGTTGTTATAATTGGCAGCTGGCACTAAGTACAGCTGTAAAAATAGTCGAATACCACAAATTACATCGCGAGCAGCTGAGTGTTGAAATGCACTGAGACGTGATTCAAACTCTTGCATCTCTTGCGGGTTTGAATGGCAGCAGAAAAACGAGACAGAAGAGAGAGAGGGCACAGCTGGAGGGTAAAGGGATAAAACTAGGACATGCCCCGAGGCCTCCCGGCGCCCGACTGACCGGCCACTCCTCAACTGCAAACAGTCCAGCAGATGTGGAGCGACCGGCTTAGATCAACATGATGACACCTGCTGCGGGGAGGAAAACACCAGCCAGAGCCTTCAGAGGGCTGCAGACACCTCACAGACATGGAGCAGAAATATGCAAGAACCCGTTCACACGCTGAGGTCGGCGTCGAAGGAATGCACGGATCCTCGGTGTCACCCTCATGCTGGGCGACTTCATTTGTCCAGATTCTTGGCCTTAAAAAGTGGCTGTTTGTTTTCTCTGATGTCTGTTCAGATGAGTCTCTCATAATGTGTCTCTGTTGTGTCTCCCTCCTTCTTTTCTCTTTACATGACCTGCAGCTGTGAATACGTAACTCAGATAGTTAGTGGTGAACCACAGAGAAGATCCAGCCTCTGGTTGATCTTCTGTGTGATGACCCTCAAGTTCACCTGTAATGTGACATCTTTGGTCTGTTTAGGTCTTTTTATTATGATTATTTTTGGGTGTTTTTGCCTTTTTTAGACAGAAAACTTGACA